CAAATTCTACCAAAGGCTTCTTTTAGTTCTAAAGTCAATCAAGAGATTCATGATATAAACATGTATATTTTCAAATAATTACAATGAACTGAACCGTCTAATAATTAAATATTTTCAAATCTCCTTTCAGAAAATTGAGAGGATTCTTGTTTATAAGTTTTTCCCTACCAAAAGTCAATCTCAACTCAAATCTAACTCAAAATCAATTATATCTCACTATCTTCATTGTTATTAATATAATTTAATAATAAAAAATAATGATCCATACACATCGGACCAACTTTAATTCACAGTTTACCGACTAACATAATTTTAACTACATATCACTTTCAATTACTTATCTCCATCAAATCAATTTTAATCATTTTATTTTAAATATTATTTTAATATAAACTCGAAATCAACTCAAATTTAACTTATTCAACTTTTTTAAAATTAATTATAATTTATAAACGAGCATGCCACATGACAAAAGAAAAATGATGCATGACTTTTCATATTGGGTAAAATGAAGCGCGTGACTCGGTCTCCGACAAAAGAAAAATGATGAGACGAGCATGATTGTATACAAAAAATTTCACTCAAAATTTTATTCAACTCAAAATCTAACTCAACTCCAATATAACTTAAAACTTTTAAAAATATGAAAGACACCACAACAAGAAATGTGTACATGATCCAATTTTAAATCCAATTATTAAACCATAACAAGATATAAGGATCAACCTTGGAACATTTTGTTCACTAATTTATTCCAAATTCCAATAAGAGCAAAAACCTGATTTCTTTCTCGTGGGACTCTGGATGCCTAATTTTATGTTATTGATATATTTTCTATTTTCATCGTGCTATGAACCCAGTTTGATATCGCAATCAAAACAGGACTTAAAACCTTGAGGATATGGAAAAATAAGCACTCACGGAAGAGAAGAATTCTGGCAAAACCGCTGACAATCGAAGAATACGCAAAGCGGCGGACACCTAAATCGAGACAGATGTCCCATTTTGCATTCAAAACATGCTTTGTCGGAATCTCAGCTTTGCTCTCGTCGGACATATTTCTCTTACAGATGCAGGAAGAAAAATGAAATATCTGATGGAATTCAAAAATTCAATGTAGTTTTTTTTTTTTT